TAGGTATGTAGGGTGGGAACTTAAGACTTTGGCTAAAGTAAAAATAATTGTTGCTTTTATGAACCATATGACATTTTGACAGTGGTCCGTTCTATTGTTACTCATTGCCATGGTCCCATGTGTTACAGAGGAAAACTGTTGCACAGGGTTGGGGAAGTAGACTGCCACGTCTACCTCCCCAGGAGCCTCTGTGCAGAGCGACTCACCATACTATTGGTTAGGAGTCGAACACTGAACCATGTCCATCGCCCATGGACTCCCTGTTGCCATGGACTCAATTCCAACTCACAGCAAGCCTGCAAGACAGAATACAACTTTCCCATTGGGGTTCCAAGGCGGTAATCAAACTGCCTTCTCTTTCTCCTGTACAGCAGCTGGTGGCTGTGCACTATAGACAGACTACAGAGAGTCTGACTTTGATGGTACTACAACAGACTTGTTCACGTCACTGCTACTCTCAAATACAGATTTTTTTTTCCTCTTTAACTCAAAACCCCAAGACAAGAACATGCTTCCTTGCATTAATACTACAAATGGGGGTTCTTTGGGGTTTTGCTTGATAAAATCTGAAACCATCCATTCAATTGATCACAATTCCAAACAAAAGTGAAATTTCAGGCAGGTAGGAAGGTAATTAGCAAAAAGACAGGGCAGCTTGGAGACTCAAGCAAGGCTCACCAATGTGTTAAAATGGCCCCACCTCATCATTGTGAAGCCCAGGCCTCGTACGTTATATCTGTCTCTGCTTCTGTCTCACCCCCACATACCACTCCACTCAAAAATAAGCATCTACAACCAAATTCTCAAGTTCACCACAAAATACGATAGGACATGAAAATGTTTTGTGTTTTCATCAGCAAACAAAGTCAAAGCTTATTAACTTGTGTCAATGCCTTCATGGGCAATCTTATATCACAAGATGGAATTTATATACTCAATTTATATAGGTGTTGGAAGCAAGCAATATCCAATTCTTTGCGCATTCAACGATCAAATAATTGACATTAACAAGACAATTAATGGGTAAGAATCTAAATCAAAATATTCAAGGCAGGAATAAAATCAAGAACACGACAACATTTCAACATTCTGCCCACTTCAAAATGTCAGCTAAGGAATTTTTCTAATTTTACCTGAATATACAAGCTCTCAACTACAGCGCTTTCATACAAAATATTTTGTCTGTTTTTAGTAATTTAGTGAATATGTAGAGTTTATAGAATATATACACAGCAAAAGAGTACATGGAAACGTAGATGAGAACAATTTCCTTCTTTTATATACCCAAATATTACCTTCAGAAACAAAAAATTCTGCTAAATAAAATGCAGTCTTCACAGCATTTGGTGAATGGGAAATGGCTTCCTCTCCCCACTCAAATGTTGGTTTCTCTGGATGCCACTGGACACCATATACTGGATACTTATAGCCTACAGGAAGAACACATACAAAGGAGTTAGAATAGTCCAGAATAAGGGTCAGCAAATGGTGGCTCATGAGACATATGGTACATACACATGGCTTGAAAGTAAAATGGAATCTTTTAAAGGATATTATTCAGATAGTTGTGCTTTCATTCGTTCATTAAAATATATAGTTCTCAAATAAATTTTAAATTGTTGTGAGGAGCTAGGATTGGCTCTTCCATCTGAAAAGTTTGCTAACCCCTAGTCCAGAATGTTACATGCAATTATGTTTCATGTCTATGCAAAGACAATAGTTTCAGAAAAGTAAAATCATGTATTCTTCTTAAACACAAACTAATAATTCAGTTCAGTCAAAATGAAAATCCCTAATGAAATCTCTCACTAGTTTTCAATGTGCTACAGTAGAGGTCAGGGCCCTCGTGGTTACATGTTTGACTAAGATCCCTAAGGTCAGCAGTTCAAAACCACTCCTTGTCTTCAAGGGAGAAAGACAGGGCTTCTTCTCCCATAAACAGGTGCCATCTCGGAAACCTGCAGGGGCAGTTCTATCCTATCCTGTAGGGTCTCTATGAGTCTGTCTTGACACGGTGGCAGTGAGCAGCAGTAGAGGGACAGTGAATAGAGACTGAAATACGCTGCAACTATGAACCTACCACCATCACGAGGCCGTTGTAAGACTGCAGCACGCTTCCTTCTGTTAGGAGTTGGACTCAACCCAATGGTAACCTACAGCACAGGTTGCTGCATAATTCACTTTCCAGACAATCATAGTAAATTATCTTAGCCTTGGAGTACATAGTACTTCGACCATGAAGTGCACACTGTATTAGGGACACAAGTTTCTCTCCGATGGGCCTCTCTTTTCCCCTTCATCAGTGTTTTCACCCTCTTGCATAATAACTTATTGCTACGATAATGGGTCCTTCTGTAAATGAACTTGTCTCAGCCTACATTAGGTGAATTATTTTATGGCTTCCCGTGGCATTTTAAAAATAGATGTCAGCATTTAAAAATTGCTATGAAAAATTCTTGGTCACATAATTCAATTATTTTTAGAAAGTGGAAATATCTTTATAGGCAAAATTTAGATAATGCCTAGGTTTTGCATCAAATAGACAAAAAGAATTCCAGTGTGACTAGTCTGTGCCTAGAAAGCCCTTGTCAGGTGTTTTTCCAAATCTGGTGAATAAAGGGGATTTTCCATTTTGATTTTCCATGTGTGTTGTCCTGATCGGTAATGACACTGAGCAATTTCCCAGGTCTTTATACCAAAAAGTCAAACACATTGCCAATAGCCACCTCAAGTCTGGACTCTTTACAGAAGCAAAGCACCACATCTTGCTCCACCAGATCAGAAACACCACCCTTTCGGTTAAGAGATGAATACTTAACCACTGTCCCACCAGAACACCTTAGAAAGAGGGAACCGATTACAAGGAACCATATGTGACCTCCTCCCTGGGGGACGGACAACAGAAAAGTGGGTGAAGGGAGACGTTGGACAGGGCAAGATATGACAAAATAACAATTTATAAACTATCAAGGGCTCATGAGGAAGGGGGGAGCAGGGAGGAAGGGGAAAAATGAGGACCTAATGTCGGGGGTGTGAGTGGAGAGAAAATGTTTTGAGAATGATGTACAAATGCGCTTTACACAATTGATGTGTGTATGGATTGCAATAACAGTTGTATGAGCCCCTAATAAAATGTTTTTTTTAAAAAGTGATTTCGCTATAAAAAAAAATTATCAAGGGCTCATGAGGGAGGGGGGAGCGGGAAGGGAGGGGGAAAATGAGGACCTAATGTCAAGGGCTTAAGTGGAGAGGAAATGTTTTGAGAATGACGAGGGCAATGATTGTACAAATATGCTTTACACAATTGATGTATGTATGGATTGTGATAACAGTTGTATGAGCTCCTAAGAAAACGATTTTTAAAAAATCACCTTCTCTTACATAAGGTCCTTGATTTCCTCTAAAATCTTATCATTTTACTTTTCCATTTAGGTCTTTCATGCACCTGAAATTTATATTTTTTATATGACACCGAAGTACAAACTAAACCTACTGCCATAAACGAATGCAAATCACAGTGACCGTATAGAGTTTGCAAGGCTGGAACTCTTGACAGAGCACCTCGCTTCATCTTTCTCCTGGTGAATATGAACTGCAGACTGAAATTAGCAGTCCAATGCTTACCTGACAGTGCTATAAAAAGGCTCCTTTTCAATGACAGAGGGTATTAGTTTTTATTTTTCAAACATCACCAACTGTCCCAATATCATTTATTACACACACCCTCTCCTTTCTCCTTACTGATTTTCCATATAACATCACTTTGTCACCTATCAAGTATCCTTAGCTGTTCTATATGACCTGTGATTACAGATGCATCTTCACACACCAACACACTTCCGAACTCATACATATAGCTGGTAGTTATCCCAGTGATGCCAAGCCAGAATAGTATGCCTGCCTCAGTTCCAGGATATACTGGAAAAATAACTAATGCAATAACAAAAATAAAGGTGATGCAAACCAACCGAGGAACAGAGCAATGTCTTAGATATATGAGACAACATCAAACAATATAAATAACAAACCAACACACACACACACACACCAAAACGGCTCCAGAAATTGACCAAAACATATAAAAACTTCCAAAAGAAGAAATGACATTAGAATGGATAAGAGATTCAAAAGAATTTTGCATACCCAAGTCAATTACAGGTTTTTTCACAATAGCAAAACGCAGAATTTGATTATTTTGAAACATATTCGTTTATTATCTTTTCAAGTGTGTCTTATTTCTTTACCAACTTGTGTAATCATTCTAATATCTAAGATTTGGACAAGTTTGCTTCTACACCTATAATTTCTACGAGTTCTCATTTTTGGCATTTTGCTTCCTTGTGCATTCCTGGGTTTTAGCTATGAATTACGCATTTGTCTTAGGCTTTTAAGTGGAAATTCCTTGAGGGCTGGGGAAAACCCAGGTTCCTCCAAGGTGATTTACTTACATTTGCTTCTGCAGTGCATTGAGGACACTGCCAATTTGAGAAAATTTTAAGTAGAATTCTTTGAGATTTGTTGTTCTGTCCAGTTAGTACAATGCAGGCCAACTAGGCAGGCCTCTGATTACGAATGTCCATGGCTTATTGAACTCTTCCATTGTCTTAGTGCTAAAGGTTAAGACAGACAATTCTCCATGCGGTGCTGCAGGCTAGCTTCCAGGCATATTTTTAGTTCGCCTGATGTTGAAATTACAGTCATTAAGTCCTAATCCATGTTCATAGACCCTGACTTTTGCTTGAAGTTCTCCTGGTTCAACAATACTGGTTTACCGGTAATTAGTCCAGTTCTCTCATGGAGTTTCTGGCCTGGGTATCCTTATTTCCTTACCAGTGTATCATTGCTTTTAGAAAGAGATTTTTCTAAATCATTTTTTGTTGCTTATGAGAAAACAATCTGTCACAGTATTTAATTTGCCATATTGGTGGGAAATATGAGAGGGTTTGAAATTTTTCATTATCTGTTTATTCCATTTTTCCATAAACTATTTTTAAACTTTTTATGGTGAATTGGGTGAAAATGTACAAAGTATATCAATTTTACATTTAAAAATGCATATGTTGTATTTCCTCTCATTTATTTCCACCCCCCACGTCACACTGCATACCCGACTGCCTCTGTGTTTCTTGTTCGCGTTCCTCCTCCATTCCTAACCCTTCCCTGGGGAAACGCTGCCATGTTCATCTCAACTGGCTGATTACCTAAGGTGAGTACTCCCATCCTCATGTTACTGTTCCCCTTGCATAACTACGAATTATGGTTTGGCTGGTAAACAGAGCGGGGAGTGAGTTCATTTCCAGATCTGAAGTGTGTGATACCCCTCACAGTAATCACTTTTTCCTTTTACCTTCTTTTTCATCACACCCCCCTAGAAAATGGCTCAGGGGAGCTGAAATTATTTGAAACCTGCACAGAATCTGTCTTCTGTCACCAAATACACCCTAACCCTGTCATCGGTCTCCATCTCTAGTTCTCGGTGAAATGCCGGTTATTCTTTTTTTTAAAAATTGGTATCCTATAAAATTACTAAGTATGAAATTAACAAGCTGAATCAAGTATACACGCAATCGTATGATACTCACCTTCCATTGAGGAAATAAATTCGATCTTGCCATCTGTATTTGTAGTTATTACATTGAAAAACTCCCTCAACTTTCCATTTGCTGTAAAATTCTATGGTAAAAACATAAAATAAAATGAGTACTTCTGTAGTTAAACCACGCTAACTAATTTTATTATGTACTATGTGATACCTTCACGGAGAGGCTCCACTTGTGGAAATTTGCAGTCAGAGGCTCAGTAGAGAGTGACAACAACAAATCAACAGGAAAATTCTGGAACATTCTGCCCTGCGATGTAGCTGAAATAATTTAAGCACCAGAAAAGATAAAATTTTCTGAAACAGTTTATCTGTAGTGAGAGAAAAGCCATTATCGAGACATTATCAAAGTAATTAAAGGACGGGAGAACAGGTCGCTTCCACAGAACTCTAGTCAAATGGGATGTTCAAACATGCTCCTGGCTGAAATACTTTTCTTTCAGATGGTTAACATGAACAAGTAAAATTTTTCTCATACGAGGATTGCTTAGCAGGCTAGCCATAAAGATAAATAGTAAAAGAATTTGGGTTCCTTAAGCAGCTCTGAAAAACATTAGTAAAATTGTTGTGTGATTATATGTTTTCCCAGGAGCGTATCCATAATTTGAAACACACTTTCAAAAGGACTTCAGGCACCCAACCATGTAGAATGGATATTAATGAAGTCAAGAAATGTCTATGGAGGAAACAGCTCACAAAGGCAATGCATCTTAGTGGCCAAACACCCCAGGCTCTGGAGTCAAGTGCATAGGCTCAAATACCAGGAATGAGTTAAGAGCAATCTTGATAGTGTCCAAAGTTAATGTTTTCTTCATAAGCGCCCCAGTATTCTTGAAATATGTCTCTTTTATATAAACTGGGCTGCCAGCACATACAGCCCAAATAGTCTAACCTAATTCAGGAACTCTTCACAGGAGTTTAACACTGATTAGTGTAATATGAGAAAAGTTTTCGAAAACTATCAAGCATACTCTGTAGTATGACGACAACTACTTTCCTTCTAGAGTCCTTATGAGATCAAGAACCATGTGCATCATTTAGAGAATAATTTGTATTAATTAGTGCTCAGGATACAAGGATCAAAGGACTTAAAAGAATCACTACATGTGTATTCAACCAAGAGAAAAGCGTTGGCACTGGATTAATCCTAGCTAGCATTTACTGAACTATATGTAAGATACTTAGCACAGTATCGGGAGCGTATTATCTTAATTGTAAGATTGTACTTACTTCCTCACCAATAACCATGAGGACACTAAAAGCAGAGAATGGTTATGGGATGACCCCACGGCAAAGTGACCAAGCCAGGACTCAAAACTAGGGCCATTCCAGAGATCTCACTCGCATGGCCCAGTGGCCAGAAGTCATTGTTTTTTAAAGTTATCATTAAGAGTTATCAAATTCCAAAATCCACTAAGCAACTGCCATCAATTAGTATGAAGGTGATAGCCCACACCTTCAATCTGTGTAAATAATTGAGGAGTTCACAGATGCAGTGAGCATTTTTGCTTTTGCTGTTAGCTAGTCAGCAATGCTGCCCACCAGCATCTATTTCAAAAGGGCTGGAAACGGAACGCTGACCTCCAGTGAAGTTCAGTGGCAGTGACACGTGCTCCGTCTTCGTGAGTGTTAATAAATTCTCCTCGCTGGCCAAGATCGTGAGCTCTTCAAATCCAAGGCATGTGCCCCACACCGGAAAATAGTCTCCATTATTGAAACTCTTGGCAAGGTAAAAGAGAACAAAGTAAGTTCATGCTAGCTGTTTTGAAAACAAAAAGAGTATACATCAAGCTTATCGTTAAAAGGCAGGTCCCACCAGTGGTGTGAGTGGCAAAACAGGGAGGGTAAAGGGAGAATGGGTAGGAAAGAGGGAACCGATTACATGGAACTGTGTGTGACCTCCTCC